TTCATTAATAATAATAATAAAAAAAATAATAATAATTCTAATTCTGATTGATCAGTGATATATTGACTGTATAAACAGTGGAGCTGTGACTGCCAGCTGCCAGAAAGTGAACAGCCAACTAGAGCAACAAAAAGGCAAGAGGCGGGTCTTCCCCCCAAGAGGGAGTGTGTGTGAGGCAGAGCTCGCTCAGCCACACACAAACACATCCAGTCATTGCACCACATTCACAGGGTGTGAGGTAAAACCTAGTCGGACCTCGCAGCCCAGAGACACTAAAGCTGTAGTTTCCCTGAGTCAAAGAGGCCACACTCAGTTCCTTCATGCTGTAGTCAGACAGACTCTTTACCCGACAGAAGCCCCTCTCACATCTGCATTCAGCAATAATGGGTGCCTGCTGCTTTGACAGAAAAGACAAGAAAATAGGGAAGCTTAATTTTTGGAAAAAGGTAAGTTTTTCTTGTATTTTATTCTGTTTGAGGTTGAGCAGTTCTTTCTTGTACAGAACTTCCTTCCTACTTTATGTGACGTTAACATTTTTATTTTTCAACGTGCACTAAATTTAGATTAGTTGTCTTGAACCTTTTTTTTTTTAATCAAAGAACTTTAAATGTATTTTATTACTGAGGAATAAGTGAAGCATTTCTTAGGAAATTGTCCTGGGGATCTTGGGCAGTTGTATAAAACTTTTGTTAAACTTCTAAAATGCCTCTAAGATTTTTCATTTTTAATGATTTGTTGATTTATCCTACTTTATGCACATTTTTACAAACATGGTTCTCTGCCCCCAGCAGCTCAGAATCTGTGTGCATCGTTTTAAATTATTGCAGCTGTATCGCAACAAATATAATTTCTTCACTTTTTAAGTGAATGAAAACTGGAGGATCTTTCTCTGTTTTATCCTGAAGGGATGACCGCTTGTTAAAACCTTTTAAAAGTTGTAAATTTTGTTTTAAAGCAATAAGAAGTGGTTGGCTTCCCACATAGTTTTAGTTTTTAATTACTTGCAGGTGACACTATTCAGGAAAACTCTTAAAGAAGAGCGCACGGAGCAAAATAGTTTGTTTGTTTCTCTTATCTGAAATAGTCCAGTGTTCTGGAGTTGTTTTTAATTAGCAACATTTCCAAGTATTTTTGAATATGTAAAATGAAGACAGGGTTGTTTTAACACCATAATAAAATCTGGAAGTTTTCCGAACATCTAAGGTCGGTTGCACAAAGTGGTTTGGACTTATGGTTTTAAGAATCTGTGCAAAAAAAGCTCAAGAGGTTTTCCTCTTTGAGAAGCTTTTTTGTGTACAATTATTTCTGTGTGGTATAAACCTTCACTTGATTTCTTCTTTTAAAGCAGCTCACACAGCTCGAGTACAGCTTTTAGCTCGCGAAGCGTTTTTCTCCATCCAAAAGAAAAAAAAAAGTACAAATCACAACTCTCTGGGGAAGCTTTGATCAATGGGAACACATTTATCAGTCTGCTTTGTGATTACTCCCTCCTTTATTCTGTGTCCTGCCCTGAAGCCTAATGTTTTTCAATACTTTGTAATCTTCAGTACAGGCTGAGACACACACATGCACTATTGCACAGACTCTAGTGTGAGTGTGAGTCACAGGAAGTGAGAGGTAGATGGGTTTTCTTTGAGATGTCTGTACCTGTAGTCGACGTACGCACAGTTCATACGTAAGACTGTTCCCTTGATCTATACAGAGTTTTGTCATTTCCAGTCCAACTTTACCAGTTTGCGTCACATCAAACTGAAGGGGCAAAACCCACAAGCCCTCGAAATCTGCTGATCATGAGGAAATTAATTAAAAACAAGGGAATGTACACATTGTTAGTTCTAACTTATTTGAATCTGGGTTGTTTAAAACACATGTTTAAGTTTTTTTGTTGGTTCTGTGTCCATTTTTAAACCACTTAAAGGCAAAATCATGTTTTTTTAGTTCATGGCCATAGATTCAACTTCTTTTTTTTCTTTTTTTTTTTTTTTATTCATATTTCACATTGATATAGAAAGTCAAATAATTACTCAATTTTGAATTTATGCTAGTTAAAACCTGTCAGAGATATTGCAAAAATATTCAGGCTAAAAATGTTATTAATGTAGTGGTTTTGTGCTGCAATTTTTTTTTTGACCACAGTAAAATTAGATTAATTTAAAGGACTTGGAATAAATTGTTTTTAACTTAAAATACTTTTTTTTTCCTAATCAAGCTGTCTGTAGATATTACGATAACCTGCACAAAGAATGCTCAATCCCTCTTTAAATGGCTGCTGGGTGAACGTAGAGCGCCCACTAGTGGCTCTGAGACACAATGTCAGTCTGGGAAATCAGGGAATTTCAAGGAATGCAGAAAGATCCCCAAGGCGAGTTTCCAGCTTGATTTATGCTTTTTAGACTGCCCTTTTCAGCAATAACCTGCAGTTAATAAAGTTAACCAATTAATTCCATTAAAAAAATTAAGCACAATTAAAGTTAAAATTTGAGTGTATTTTAAATACTTGTTCAAATGTATAAACAATCACCAGAAAAAGAGCGAGCGAGGGAACAGCCCAGTCAGATGGAGGACGAGCTTGGTCTCGTGTCAGCGGGAGACTCCGTGTCTGTCTGCCTGGCTGCCCCCACAGTGAGCTGCTCGATGGAATCACATCTAAACTGAGGAGCTCAGCTCTATGTTCACTCTCCCCCCCCACACACACACTCCACTCCCACCTCCCAACAGAAATGCCAAAGGCTCCATTCACCTCCTCTGCCACTGCAGCTCTCTGCTGAATCAAGCCAACCACTGTAAGCAGAACGAAACAAGTAGGAAGAGGAAATTTGGAGTTAAAAGCAAGGGGTAGAAACATCTTCTTTTGTCTTTTCCCTCCACATGGAGTCATCCTCCTCCATCTCACTCTGTCCTCACTCCAACTACATCCAATAACAAATGGCCAAGAAAATGCATAAAAAACAAGATCTGGTTTTAAATAATCTTCATGCTCTTAATGGTCAATTATTTCCACTGTCATCAGATAAAGACTTCCCCTCTGCTACTAAATGAATAAAAACGAACATAAATAAAACATGTCTGTGATATTTAAGCATCAGCTGTAGGTAACTGCACGTGTAGGTTGCGTTTTTGTGTACGTTTGTGTATACTGAGGCATTTCTGCAGCCTCTAGCAAAGTACAGCACACATTGCACAGCGACGTCCCCCACTGTTATTTCTGGTTTACTTATATATTATGCAGTAAGCTATTATATAAAGAGCTGCCTCCTTTATTTATTTTTTTTCAACCATCTACCTCCCTGCTTCTGGTTCTTTCCCTCAGTGGGAGGATGATCCGGAATTCTTTCAAGAAAGCTCTGATCTCCCACACAGCTTTCCCAGTTTCTACACCAGTACTGGACCTAGGGGTTCTCCTGGAACTTGTGTTAACGGTTTCCAGTGCACTGGTTCTGATGTGGCACAACTGGCTTAAAGACACAAGCGCACCTTGAAAGTGACCACTGATACTGATGTAGCAGCGCATTCTAGTCATGTGGTCCCTCTATGTTGCAGTCATAACACCACCTGCACCACAGCCCGCTGATTCTGTCTGTGGGGGGCGAACAGACAGATTGACAACTGTGATGGCAAGTGGTAGCCTGGAGAGGAATTTAGAACCAAGGATGGAGAGTGAGGGAGGGATGAAAGAGAAGGAGGCAACGTTTTTCTGATTTTCTTTTGGGAGGGGAGGTGTCAGTTCAAGTGGATGCATCAGTGGATGCAAGCAGAGGCGATATGTGTGGTGTGTCCTCGTGACAGCTCAGCAGCTCTACCACATGCCTGCTTGAGAAGACAAAAAGGGAAAACTCTCCTCTGCTTCCCTTAGCTTTTTTTTTTTTTTGCTACCCAATACTGTTGCCATGACGTTTGGGTGTTCTCCTAATTGGCATATACACACTCACAGATTTCCCTTAAACTAAGAGCGCAATTATTTTTTGTCACCTTTTCTGACCATCTTCACCACTCCGCCTGTTAAAAATAGCTACCCGCAGACACCCTGTCGGCATCCAATATTATTATGGGATGCAGATAATGAACAGGCTGATGAGTACTCTGCAATGGCTGCCACACTTGGTTGTCAGGAGACAACAGAAGACACAAAAGAGGGAGTGGAGCAGCAGCGGGTGATAATAGAGATAATGGCGATTAAAAATACAGCCGATGTACGCTCACATTCTTCAAAACGTGCCGTTCTCAGCCCTTATTGTTTTACTGTAGAGGGGAGGAGTTGGTTTCCAGCTCAGTGACATTCCCTCACAATGGCTGGCTGTATATCAATGACTTAAAGAGGGAATTACAGGGTCTGAAATTAAGGAACACTGAAATTATCTGAAGGCTTCTTATTTTAAATCAATGAAAAACACTGCTTCAAAACAGCATATACTGTTTATATATATATATATATATATATATATATATATATATATATATAAATCCTAACCCATACACACATTGTCACTAAACCTTAATTAAGGCTTCGTTCTCCCCATTTTTGTCTAATTGGGATTTAAGTGGAGTGTGTTGCTAGGGCTGACAGGATGTAGCAAATAAATAAATATTGAGGGATAGAAAAGGGGGAAAACATGAGGAGAAAGAGAAAGGCGGGGGCGTGAGCCTTACAGCAGTGAAAGCAACGAAGTGAGACAAATTCAGTGGAGGAACCCCCCCTCCAGTCAGATGAGCATCGCTGCCTCACTCCCTCCTTTGTCCTCCTCCTCCTGTCTCCAATGCTGTGTTTTTCCCCTCCTCCCATTCCTGCTTCCTCTCCATTATTCATCAGTGCACTGAGAGTCCCCATCACGGCTCCAGCTGCCACTCCAGCCGAGCCCGCTGGATCGTCTAGCCTGGTTACAGAGCCGAAATTTTCACTCTTACATCAATCCATCCATCGGCAAGCATGGAGCCTTGCAGCTGGCTCTTTTCTGCAGCTAATGGGGGGAGTGAGCCATCATAAAGCTGCTCTCTTTACTGCCAAGAAGAATATTTTGAGAGAAGAAAAGAGGGGATTTTTTTGGCGCTGAAAGAATCCTTTTGTCTTCCTCTATTTTTTTCCTCGACTGGATTACCGTTCTGGCTTTGTGTAGGAACGAGACAAAAGAGTCCAAAATGCCTGAAGCCAACTACCTGCTGTCGGTGTCTTGGGGTTACATTAAGGTGTGTGGCGTTTATCTACATAGCTGGTCTGGACTACTCATCCCATTTTCTGATTGTGCTGTGTTGCATTATTTTTAATGAAAGAAATATTGATTTCTTTAAGGACCATAAAATATGTTTTTTTAAGCTGTGCAAGCTGAAGTGAACCCAAAAATATTTCCTCGTGCAGTTAAATATGACAGAATGTTGTTTTGAGGCTCAGGCTCCATCTTGAGCCCGCTGCAGAGCAGTATGTCTGTTTCTATGTGTTGTGAAGTGTATGCTTGTGCACGCAGCGTGCACGTCTGTCGTAAACATCTGCTGCTGCAGTGCCTGGGTTTCCGTGGGATGTCAAATGCATCTGAATATCCAGCTGGCTTTCACAAGTTGAAATTGTTCCAACTGCATGAAAAGACAAAGGCAGACATTCCTGAACACTGATGCGAGCTCATCTGCCAGAGAGTCCAATAAAAATTTGATTGTGTTTAATAAATCTTAAAATTAGTTCCTGTGAAGAAGTTAAGGGGTTTTAAAAGCTGATGGTTTCTCACTGGTAAAGAATCTTGAATTGCAGCATAATAAATCAACAAAGGGGAAAATACATCCCTCACTGATTGTACTCAGTAACTATAACATTCTTCACCTGATGATTAAAGTTGGATTTTTATGGCATCTTGTGCAAAATCTATCTCAGGTTTCCCCCGAAGTTGAAAATGACGACATATGTCTTTCTTCTTCTCTTCTCTCCTGCAGTTTAAGCGAATGTTGAATCGGGAACTGACGCACCTATCTGAGATGAGTCGGTCTGGGAATCAGGTTTCCGAATTCATATCCAACACCTTCCTAGGTAAATAAACATCTTGTGTACATGTTTTCACAAATCACACAGGTTGCCCCTAATGATCCTGATTACCCACAACTTCAATTTTGATTTGTCCAATCACAAAGAAGCTGCCTTCTGGTTGCTATCTGAGTTTGAGATTTCTCTTAAGGTTTGCCGCAATATCTTTCACAGGATGATAATCTGTGGAAGTTGCTCTGGCTGCATGGCTTTCCTGTGGGGGCGTACCATTAAAATAAAACTGCGCCATGAATTTCTTACCGAGATGATTTACAAAATTATTTTAAATGTTTTGACCAATAAATTTACCATAGGATTATCACAGTGCTAATCCACACTTATAATTGGTATAAAAAATAAACTAGCAATGTTTAAAAAAAAAAAAGTTAGTATGTGAGTTTGTTGTAGTAAATGTACAAAGTCGGTACAAATATGTAATGAGATGCTCAGGACCAGTCAGGAAAATCATTTGAAGAGACTTTAATATAAAAGAAAAATGCATAATGAATTCCAGACCAACAAGCGAGGGAGGGAACTGACTGCAGAAAGAGGAGGAGAAAAAAAAAACACCTACAGAGGAACCCCCTTCGCTGGCAGGGTGATAAGTTGGCAGATTGAATGACTCATCCCCATCTTCATGCATCTCTGTCAGCAGGGACACCTGTCCCGTTTCCTCTCCCTCCCCCGCTAACCGACCCAAAAAAACAGGTGACTTTTGCTTCAGTAAAGAAAAAGGATTACCCCATTGGTGACAAAAAAGTAAAAAAACAATAATAAAAATCAAAGTACATAGTAACTAAAATGAAGGGGTGGGGATAAAGCAGCACAGCTGGCCTGGTCTGACCACAGATGACCAGCAGAACTGGGGGGTGACATTTTCATGTAACACTACAATAAATCATTGCCAGTTCTGTGTAGACCATCTGATTTACTTGTATACATTTCTTCTTTTGAAAACAGTGCTCAGTGAACTAACTACGTTTCCGAGATAAATTATCATTTTATTCCGAAACTTCTGGCTTTTTTTTTTTTTTTTTCAAAAACAACAGGCCCACTATTCAAGTATGTTCCTGTTCTTGGCCATTGCCATCCAATCCCCATCTGTGCCTCTTCTAATGAAAAACACGTTGAAGGGTGAAAATAAATTAGATGGTACTGAAACATGCAGGGAACAACAAAAAATGAAATAGTTTTCTCTTCTCTTTGCATTTACTGCTTATCTTGAGAAATATTATGCAATATATAACCATGGCATTTATTCAGACAACATACCAAACTACTAATCTACTTTACACTAAAAGCATTCTGCGCCTTTAGATTTGAATAATATGTAGGACATTCAATTCATTTTGAGTAAATTTTATAAATTAAGCCAATAAAAGTTAGTTCACTGATTGAATAAAAGGGTCCCACATACTAATGCTACACACAAGTGTTAATGTTCTTCAGTTGTCATATACTGGAGGGTGATTTCTTGTTTATCCCATTGTTTTCCACAAAACACATATGAGAGAACTTTTTTTTTTAAACCAGAGAACAGAACAGAAAAGAAAGATGTGAAAAAAGGCAGCGACAACAGTGCATGAGAGTAAAAGTGATTAGTTCAATTATAGCTAGTAATTGAATAACCCTCTACAAGGGAGGGCAGATGGGTCAGCGAGGAGCTGAGGAGAGGTTTGGTGATGTTTCAGCTCACATGCAGAAAGACAGACTTTGTAGAATTTATAGAAGCCGTTATAAGCTAAAAGCAGCCATGAGTGATTTAAATGTAATAAAATAGTCCCTCGTTTATTGTGGGGGATCTGTACCCTGAAGCCCCACAACAAGTGGAAAAAGTAGGAATAGTAGTACAATTAGTAAGTAGTAGTTTATTTTAGTATTTATATATGTGTTAAACCTTTTCCACACTCTTGCAATATTCTAAACGATGTTCCTAAACTCTAAAACGCTCTAAAAGAGCACAGAATGTCATGATTTCAGCTCCCCTGCCTCCGCTGCACTCAGCCACCTGCAAGCGTTCTTGGCCACGCCCACTTCTCCGCTCTGCACGGAGAACAGCTGATCAGCTGCAGCAGGAAGTTTATCCTGCAGTATGGGCTGCACAAAGCTCAATAATTTAAAATAATTTATTTTAAATAAAAATTCCATGCCGAGCGTGCGGCTCATCCATCAGTCACTGGTGTCACTGGTCACTGGTGTCCATATCCAGCAGTGACCGTGCAAGAGGTGGGGGACACCCTGGACAGGTCTCAGTCCATCACAGGGACACGGAGACAAACAACCATTCAGTCTTTCGCTCACACCTAGAGACAATTTAGAGTTACCAATCAGTCTAACATGCATGTTTTTGGTCTGTGGGAGGAAACCAGAGTACCCAGAGAAAACCCACACATGCACGGAGAGAACATACAAACTCCACCTAAATAAACCCCCAGCCGGGATTTGATCCGGTGACCTTCTCGCTGAGCGGCAGCAGCTCTACAAACTGCGCCACCGTGCAGTCTATACAAAATATATTAAACAATTTTATTTTGTTTAGAATCTAAATCAAATGTTGATGAATAAACTTTTTTTTTAAAGAAATCTACATAATGAATTGAAAGAAGAGCAAATAGTGCACCAGCTGACTGAATTTGAGATTTTGAAGCAAGAAGGAAACAAACCCCATGAGCTCAGAGGATGTTTAAAAAAGGAACGTGTTAACTGAACAAGTGAGAATTAGATTCCAGAGAATTTTTTTTTATTTTTCTTTAAACAGCCGACACAGGCGACCTGTAGTTTAATATGAAAAACAATAACACTCAGACCAATGAATACACACTTTGATGTGTTTTTTTTTTTTTACATTCTGTCTTTGCGCAGACAAACAGAATGACGTGGAGATCCCGTCGCCAACATCCAAAACGAGAGAGAAGAAGAAACAGCAGAAGCAGCAGCTGATGACGCAGATCAGTGGAGTGAAGAAGGTTTCTCACGGGCCCTCGCTCTCCAACAGCAGCATCTCTCGCTTTGGAGTCAAGACTGGTAAAGAGGAGCTGCTGTCCAAGGAGCTGGACGACCTGAACAAGTGGGGTCTAAATATCTTCAGCGTGTCGGAATACTCCAACAGTCGACCTCTCACCTGCATCATGTACGCCATTTTTCAGGTATGGATTATTCTACGTTTTGAATTACTTGGCATGAACAGGGGACAACAGGCATGTGTTTCGATTATGTAATAAAGTTCTCTGAACAGTAGCCCATAAACATTTATCCTATTTTTAGGAGAGAGACCTTTTGAAGACATTTAAGATTCCTGCTGATACGTTTGTGGCTTACATGATGACACTGGAAGATCACTACCATTCAGATGTGGCCTATCATAACAGCCTGCATGCTGCTGATGTTGCTCAGTCGACACACATCCTTCTCTCCACTCCTGCTCTAGATGTAAGTCCATCTTTAAAACTCTTTGTCTCAGTTGCACTCAGTATGATTGGATTTAATTGGAATTAATTGATTTTTATTTTCTGGTGAATGACCTTTTGCCCCTTCTTTACTTGCACAAGTTTTCTAAAATAATTTTACCTACTTTGTTAAACATACTTTACTGTTTGTATAACTTAAGGGCTGCTCTGGTCTTTGGAACATGGAGAACTCTAGGTTCTCCATCTGTTTGCTTCAGCCATATACATACAGCCCCGACAGTCATATTCCTTATAGATCGATTAAACAACAAACTCTTGGGCAGTTTAGCCTTTTATGTTTTTTTTTTCTTTGTTTTATATAACAGAAAAGTGGCAAAATTTGAAAGCAAAATTTATATATTAAAAGCCTTCTTCATTCATGCTGTTTTTATTGCCCCTATAATCAATCTGAGTTGAAGAGACTTGTAACTTACTTGGTTCAGCCTTTTTGATGTTAAATAATGTAATATTCTTTCCTGTCTTCACAGGCGGTCTTCACAGACCTTGAGGTCCTAGCCGCCATCTTTGCTGCAGCTATCCATGATGTTGATCATCCCGGAGTTTCAAACCAATTCTTAATCAATACCAGTAAGTTTTAAAAATGGTCCATTTAAATATATATATTCTACTTAAATTATAAAAAAAAAACCATGGAAACATTTGATAACAATAAAATGCCTTTTTATCCATGGTGCAGACTCTGAGCTGGCCCTGATGTACAATGATGAGTCCGTACTGGAGAACCATCATTTGGCTGTAGGCTTCAAGCTGCTACAGGAAGACAACTGTGATATCTTCCAAAACCTCACAAAGAAGCAGAGACAGTCCCTGCGCAAGATGGTCATTGACATGGTAAATTATTTGGAATGATCGTTTTACCCTTTGTTTTTAACCAAACAAATTATAATTATTATAAAAAGGGTTTACGTTAGATTCCTATTCACATTTTTTAATTTATTTTTTTATGCAGGTTTTGGCGACGGACATGTCCAAACACATGAGTCTGCTAGCTGACCTGAAGACTATGGTTGAGACCAAGAAGGTGACAAGCTCTGGAGTATTGCTGCTGGACAATTACACTGACAGGATACAGGTATGTGCTGCACCTAAAAGTGGAAATAAATACTTTCTTTGTGTTGCATGCCTTAAATGTTTATGAATGAACAGCTCAGCATTATAATTTTGAACCAGTAGGTTCCTTTCCTTTTTATTCTGTTACAATAATGTGGAAAAAGTATATTTCTTTTTTTGTGACTTAAGTTAATCTCACTTTAGTGTATGATTTCAGATTTTATTGCATCCCTAAAGACTAGATATTGTCTGAATTTATTGTAATTTCTACAAAAATCAAAATCAGTCTTCAAACAAAAAATATATTCTACAAGTACCTTATTTTTCAGACTATATTGCGCTCTTAAAATCCTTTAATTTTCTTAAAAATCGACAGTGAGCTTTATAATCCGGTGCGCCTTATGTATGAAAACAGACCCGTTCATTGATATTGCACCTTACAGTCCGAACAATATGGTATGTCTTTTACTAAACTGCAACTATTCACCATTTCTAGGTGCTGCGTAACATGGTGCACTGTGCTGATCTGAGTAATCCCACAAAGTCCTTGGAGTTGTATCGTCAGTGGACTGACAGGATAATGGAGGAGTTTTTCCACCAGGGAGACCGAGAGAGGGAGAGGGGGATGGAGATTAGCCCCATGTGTGATAAACACACAGCGTCGGTAGAGAAGAGTCAGGTATGTAATGAAAATGAATAGTGGCTGTAGTCTAGGAGAAATTTAGCTGCTTTATGTGTAAAAACATGCAAAAATAAACGAACTCAACACGTATTCTTCTCTTTCAGGTGGGCTTTATAGACTACATTGTTCATCCTTTGTGGGAAACTTGGGCAGATCTGGTCCACCCTGATGCCCAGGACATTCTGGACACTTTAGAGGACAACAGGAACTGGTACCAGAGCATGATTCCCCAGAGTCCCTCTCCTCCCTTCTATGAACAGGGCACTCACGGACACAGTGGAGGTACAGGAATACAGGGAGGAGGGGAAAAGTTTCAATTTGACGTGGCTTTGGAGGAGGAAGACTTGGAAGGAATGGATAAAGATGGGGAAGAGGACGAAGAGTTTGAGGAGGAAGAGGACGATCTTGGAAATTCCCATTCTCCTCCCCTGGACTACTTGGACAGTCAGATGCCTGAGGACGGTGCCATGATTGAGTCGGCAATAGAGATTGTGACGCACGAGGCGTCACCCACAGACACATAAGGCTTCCATCATCGAGCTCACGCGGTGATTTGAAAGGCTTTTTTTGGGGAAAAGAGGGAGTATCCTCTTGCAGCTGGGCTTTTTAATAAGCCCACAGAGGTGAGGGCTTTCGTTTGGCCCGCGCTGGGGCATCTTGCACTTGGGTTGTTGAAGCCAGACAGAGGCGGACGATTTTTGGAGAGATGGCTTCAGAGTTCTCAGGAATTAGTTACTGCGAACAATCTAGGCTCAATAAAGAAGAGTGGAACTTGAAAAAATTCAGCCAGTTTGGGAAACTACTTCTTTTCTGGACTGGTATTAAATGGACACTGACACTACTGAGAGAAGTTTTGTATCGTAAGACTCTTTGTTTGGTTGTATTTTATTTTAAGATACGTGTTCTAGAAGTAGCATAGAATAAGATCTACTGATGGAGACACATTTGTATAGCGAGAGAAAAGTGTTTACTTTTTTCTGTACCATTTGTCAAAGAACTTTTGTGTGCCTTTTTACAACTGTCTTTATAATAGTTTTTTTTTATTTATTAAACACTTTAGTGTCAAAAAGAAAAGAAAAGAACTTTTGTATGTCAAAGAAATAAGTCTTCCATGTATTGGGCAATAGAGAAATCCAAGCAAACATCAACTCAAATGTCTACAGTAAATGGGGAAAATATACTCATTACTTATCTTTTGTTTTTTGTTTTCAATCTGAGCACAAGTTTTTTTTTTTCCTTACATGCAGAATTTAAACATGCATTCACTTATAAATCGTGTTACATCTTTCATTAGTTGCTTTATTTATCAGACATCAGCCAGTCAAGGAATAAATGTCAAGATCAAACCTAAACATCTTTATGTAAATCCTTTTATTTTATTACTACTTTACTTCGTGTTTGGCTGCAAACCATAAAACTTTCCTTCAATTTCACTTGAAAAATTGGATGAAATGCACCATTTTCAGGAGCACAAAGTTCTAGGTTTTCAGCTTCTCATCAAGCACTTCCTACCACCTTCGTAAGTTAGGATGTAAATTGGATTTGTTCGCTAACTTTTCAGTTATTTGGGGTATTTACATGATTTACAAACCCCTCTTGGTTTTACTGACATGACCTCAAAACAATCAGGCCAGCTATTTCTCCCTCAAAATCCCTCAAGTGCTGTTTCTGCTCATTGACGTCAATTGAATTTTTTTCCTGCCCCCTTGATGCTTAAGGTTTCCAGGACATTTGGGTTATTAGGAATTTTCACTGGCAGGACTGCTGGATCCAGCGTGGCAGACTGTAATGTTATAAATGGTAAAGAAAGTATAAATATTTCCGTTTCAATTTTTAACAGTACCCCACCAGCATCCAAAATGGCGTCTCTGTTTCCTTAATAATTCAAAGGAGGATGGCTTGAAAAATGGTTTGCAGACCTCTCGGTTCCGTTTGATATATTTGGGAGGTGCGCTAGTTGCATCATGTTTCTCCACTTTCAAATAGGTTTACTTTAAGGTACTTTTCATAAAGCATGCCTAAGTTGCAGCATGTATGTTTGTATGGGAATGTGTCTCCATTTGTTCGTGTGGATCATGCCTTACCCCACCACTTCACACCTTTGTCTCTGCCGTTTGAGCTCAAGTTGGTCCTTTTGCTGTTTATAACAGTACGTATTTATTCTATACGCTAGGCTTGTAAATAAGATATACTGGTTCAGTGTAAAATCTATTTTAATTTATATGCACTTGCATTACCTGGAAGTGGTGGTGTCTAACGTGTAGAAGACTCTGGAAAGGAGCCTTTTTTATTTTTTATTTTTTACAAATGTATTATATTGTTTTTATATATATATATATAAGTACACATAAATACGTATATATTCGCACAATGTTTTGAGTGCCCAGCAGAGCAGCAGCTATAGGCCTGTTGTTGTCACATAAAAACCTTGTAACTCGAACTTTATTTTTACATGGTAAAATAATTATAGTTAAAAAAAAACATCTTTGAAGGTATTATTATAATGCACAACCCTTAAACCAAAAATGCTGCCACACTGATTTTCTATCACTTTCAGCTTATTTATATTTTTTAAATAGAATTCTATATAAGACTTATACGTTTCTTTTTGACCAAATGAATTCATTACAAGGTTTTTGTCTGACATCAGCAGTTTGGTAACCCAGAGGACGCTAAACCGCATAAGCATACATACAGGTTAGCTAAGGAATGTTAAAGCATAGTTATTGATCGGTTCAAAATACACACTTAGCCTAATTTTGTCAGTGGCTCGTCTTAACACAATCTTCTCCATCTAGCATTTGATTACAGGTTGCTAAAATAATTATGACTGAAAAACACAAAGTGATTGTCACCGTTTTACACTTAAATGCACTTCATGTACAAGTAGGGGACAGTCTTTTGTAGCATGCTACAATATACCTAGCACTGATGTGAATTATACCAAGTCAACAACAAATCATGATCTTATGTAACTGACTGTGTGAATTCTTCTGACCAAATTCATTAGCAGTTTTGAAATTCAAATATGTCAGTATTACTGTTCTCTATGTTCAAAGCTTTTCTGGTCCTTGTGTTCTATTGGTTAGCCAGGTTTAGCACTATCTGCATGATGACTTTTTTTTTATTGTTGATATGTTAAAGTCCACCAGTTGTTGCAGGTGGGTTTTTAATGTTTCACACAATGTATGGTATAATATTGTATATTGTGTTCAAAAATAGATCTGAAATACTTTTTCTATGAAGTGATTAAAAGTGAAGCATGAATATATTTCTGTGTCAATGTAATTCTGTTGCTACAGGTGCCCTACTACAAAATCTATATGGTGCAACAACAACAACAAAAAAGATATTAAATCCAAACAAACTTTAAAAAAAATGTAAACACTGTCTGGACAAAGATTGTGTCTCTCACTAAACAATATGTAAGAGCATCAGTGATTTTTATAAACCACTCGCTCTTTCAGTCATGCAAACAGCAACTAATGATTGTAGTAATGCTTGGTTTAGGCATGTCGTGAATACACCATATTTTAATAAACGTGATAAAATGCCAGCATAAGACAAACGTTAGTCATAAATAAACTAAAATCAGTGGAAACTAGTCTGAACTGAAATATTAAGCTCAAATTTCAAAATAGTGCTTTCATTATATGCAAATAAAAACATTCCATGATCTGTAACGTGACTATAAATCACTGATGCTGTCGTGTTTTTCAGCGTCAGAGGTCCAGCTCTAGTGTGGGGAGATGGGAACACAGTGTGACACAGACTCAACACATCCCACACAGTCTGACAGCGGTCCTGATGTGACATACGGCTGTCTGTCTCTCTCTCACACTTAATGGTAAAGTTTGCGTGCACTTTGCACACATGGCACACACACACACAAAATGACAGATGGCTGTGATATTGCTAAAATCACCATAGAGATATTTGTAAGATGTTGTACAGACGGACAAATAGACATGCATTAACATACAAATGACCTTGAAGTTAGAAATTAAAAAAAAAAAAGATTTTACAAAACGATCGTCTTTTCAACTATTTAAAATATAAAAATGAAAAAAAAAAACAATTTTTTTCTTAAGCCCTTGAACTGAGCATTTAGTTGAGAAATACCACTTGCATGCAGGTGCTGCATATTTATTTATTTTTGTACTTGCTAATTAATGCCACAAATATTAATAATAAAATTTGGAAAAAGATGCCTAAATTGGCCAATTAGTTGACCTATCCTTAATAAGAACAATGCAGCATGTTCTAACCATAACATTGCCTCTATAAAATACTCCGTTCTGAAAAATTCATGATTGTGTGATTATTTTCCAAAATTTTAAACAAACAAACAAAAAAATAATCCCTGTAATGCTACTTTAACTGGTGATGTGTGACTTAGCCGTGCTGCTGATTATCCATGCTGCTGATCTCTCACCTTTAAGCTGTTTTATCCATACCCATCTGCTCACTACAGACTCATGTTCGGGCTGCTGTTTAATATACAGTGTTATTTTACATTACAGCAGTCCCTCGTTTATTGCACAGGATCCGTAACCTGAAGCCCCATGATAAGTGAAAAACCATGAAGTAGGAATAGTAGTACAAGTAGTAAGTAGTAGTTTATTTTGTTATTTAAATATATATATATATATATATATATATATATATATATATATATATATAAAGGCATTTTAAACCCTTCCCACACTCTTGCAATATTCTAAACAATGTTTCTAAACTAAACGCTCTAAAATAGCACAGAATGTCACAATTTCAGCTTCCTGCATCCTCTGCTCTTTGCCACCTGCATGCACTCTTGGCCACGCCCACTGCTTCGCTCTGCATGGAGAACAGCTGATCAGCTGCAGCAGGAAGTTTATGCTGCAGCAGTAAGGGCTGCACAAAGCTGCAGGAGGAAGCTTGTTTTATGCAGATCTGAGCTGCACAAATGTGCAGCAGGTGTTAAATAATTCAAAATAATTTATTTTAAATAAAAATTCCATACAGATTGTGCAGCTCATCTATCAATCAGCCAGTTGTGTGTCATGGCAAATCTTGTTTTGAAAAACCGCGATAGAGCGAGTCAGTGATAAACAAACTGCAAGTAGCGAGGGACTACTTTGTTAGTGTTCAGCATATATCTTAGATCATACTGTTTCTTTTTATATTTTATATTTTTGCCATTTTTGCGTGTAACTGGGACCTTGAGTACACAAATTCATTCAATCTCTTGTACCACATGTGATGTGAATGACAATAAACTTTACTTGAACTGATAAACCCCTTATCTAAGCTATTTCCATAGCAAGGTGAACTTTTGAACAATGAAAGTTTACATTGGTAGTCATTGCTAAATCTTAATACAAGAAGGTAATAGCCTACTGATAAAGGTCAACTTTAGCTCAGTTTCACAATGATCTGCAACAACAGTCTAAAATTTTCTTTTATACAAGCTCTGCCCCTGCGTTGAGAGTTAAAAGTATATCCTCCATGACCTTGATTTCCTTTGAGGTACCTTCTATCCATCTATAACAGTTTTATTTTAAAGTACAACTTAATTCCTTGAATTGTCCTGAGCAGACCTCTCCTGTAAGGATGTCCAATGACCCATCTTTTTCCCACTGCCACTGATTTACTTTGTCATTTCACATTGAGGAACACTCTCATGGCCTTACCTCTGGCATAACCTAGTAAAAGTTACAAATCTAATTTGCTGTAAACTACTTGTGTACAAATGGGATACGAAGCCTTTCAAGCAATTCCTTCACAAAGCACAAAAGGTCCACGGGGATTAGAGTCATCTAGAAAAGCTAAAAACAGACTAACTCCCCAACAGTCTACGTAAATGACACCACGTAACGTTTCCCTGAAGTGGCACAAAAAGATGAGACGATTTCAGCCGAAAATAGGAAATAACTGGGTTGGAAGATGAGCTATTGGCTCAAGGCTTGAAAATTCCCTAATGCATCTTCAACTTGTGAATGAAAAACAAAAAAAAAAACAGAATGGAAAAAGGTGGCATTAAAGCAGGGGCGTATAGTGCACCAAATCAAATGGTCCAGTTGATAAAATCAAATGTGAACTTTTCTTCAAACCATAGACCCATTTACAAAAAGGGGAGTGGTGGTAGTTAGAGAAGACAAGCTTGTGACGGGGAGTTTGTGGGGTTAAAATCCCCAGACCAGCATAAAAACAAATATATAATAATAATAATAAATTGGGTGTAGTAAGTGAAGCCGTTATATCTGCCACTACCTTCATTTACCCAATTCTGGGCCCTTGAGCAAGGCCCTTAACCCCCCAGCTGCTCCCCGAGCACCTAGATGGCAGCTCTCTGATTCACATGTGCTTATATTTGGGGAAAAAAGCAGAGAATTAATTTCCTCTAGAACTATTTCAATTCAGTTCATTTAAATAGCACCAAGTCACAACAGAAGTCATCTAAGGGCACTGAACAAATACATTCATATCCATAAAAAATTCAGTTAGTAACATTATTTATCTATGGTATATGGTATGGTATATGGTATAAAAGTGTATTAATTTAAAAAAATACAAAACAATTCCATAACAATATAAAAATATACAAGAGATTTAAAATGAAAGGCAGCAGAAGAAGAAAAAATCTTATTATATCTGCCCCTTTTTTCAAACAATTAGTTTAATCACAGGGCAGCACGGTGGCGCAACTGGTAGAGCTGCTGCCTCTCAGCAAGCAGGTCCTTGGTTCAAACCCCGGTCCAGGGGCCCTCTGGGTGGAGTTTGCATGTTCTCTCCGTGCATGCGTGGGTTTTCTCCGGGTACTCCGGTTTCCTCCCACAGACCAAAAACATGCATGTTAGGCTAATTGGTAACTCTAAATTGTCCCTAGGTGTGAGTGGGAGAGTGAATGGTTGTTTGTCTCGTTTGTCTC